ACGTGAATAGATTGTTTTAATTGATTACAGGTGGCTTGCAGTTAAAATATAAACCACAACGTGTACTCACAACGTCTACTACTGCATCTTCAACGTTACGGCACCGTATTAGGACAACTTTGATCAGTCATACTATTTATGCCGTCAGACCGACTACTCCGATGGGTGGACTTGTCACAAGCAGCGCTAAGGTAGATTAGTCATAATAGCTGCTAAGTTGAGGAATTATTTTGATCGAAGCTAATTTCGTATTTTTTTTTTTAATTCAAAGCTTGACAGAATGTGACAGGACAAAAAATTGAATGCATTTTCGGTTATTTTAACTAGCATCAACTATGTCATGAAAACAGAAAAAATGCAGACTGATCTTAAGTCCTAATTTCTTTATACAATAATTAAAAAATGGTCAAAGGTCAAATTTTGGCAAGTAAAATTGTCAAAATTTTCTACACATTGTACTGGATAACTTTTGATAGCATGCAAGTGAACTGAGAGATTTTAGACTCCAACAGGTCCAACGGATTTTCCACGCACAGCTCTGATTTCAATTGCATCATTATCTGTCATCATTATCATAGCTATCGTCGTTTTTTGCGTTTTCAGGTCAAGTTTGCATTTTACTTACTTCCATTTCTCAATCACGCAAACAACTGAATTATATCACGTTTGATAACGTTTATCACTTTTATATTTAATGATTTGAAATTTTTATTCATTCTTTTAAAATTTTAAAGTTAGTTTTTTATGATTTTATGCATTTTTCAGTAAGTATGGTTCTCATGTTAATCTTCTAAAAATGGATTTTATTCAATACGATCTGATTGTTTTCAAATTTAGATCACTTAATATTGCGAAAATTATTCTCTTTACTTTTTAAAATCGAATCTGTTTACTTTTCATTCTAAAATAATTTTAATTTTGCATCTAACTATTTCTTTAACTTCTTAGTGCAAGAACTTTAATAGAATTTTCTATGCTAATTATTTTAGGTGCAGACAGAGTGGACCATCGACCGATCAATATCCTATGGTTTGCAACGGTAAACAATCAGGTTATGCTCCGATACCAGCTGAGATGTCTCCTCAGATGATGCATGAATCATCTACCCCACACACGGGTCCATTCTTTCAAAACCGTGTAAATCAGCTTAATGGATACCAGCCTATCAAAGGTGCTGTGATACCCAGTGGTAGCACTTCTGCAGGCAATATAAAAGGTAACGGTGCAACATCTAGCAATAATAGGAAGAAAGAGTTTAAGGAATGGTACGTATAGTTTGAATAGTAATCAGCATTCCTTGCTTCGGAAATGGGCAGTTCAATTGCGATAAATATCTTCTGAAAATTGGATATTTGACCTTCGAACTTCTAATTTTGTAACTTTTTACAATGTAAATTGAGTAAAATTTATACGAACTCACAAAAAATAATTTTTGAGTTATAAAATAGTTTTTAGAAAAATTGGCATTTTTTCACATTTTCTGCGCTCATTCTAATAATATTTGTCATTGCGTGTCATATTTTCTAAGTGACGTTTATGACTTCTTTTGAGACAAAAAAATACATATTATAAAGTATAAGTCTATATTGTTTGCAACCACTAAGCTTTTTTTACTATTAATAACTTTGGTGTTTGTTTCTTTAATACATCTTTCAAATAATTTTTATGCAAATAAATTTGAGTAAAAACTAAATTACGTGTCTTTTTTGTACTGACGTTAATTAATTTTGCGCTTTATTTTCACGTGATGGCATTTTAAACTTGTATTGTTTTTTTTCAAATTTTGCTGATTATCAATACATTTTATCAAAACAATAAGTTTTTTCAGGAAAAAATAAATTTGTCGTTGTGAGTTTTATAAATTTTGATTCCGTATAGCATTTATTCTTGAAGTAAACTAAATCAAAGTGTGAAATCGTTCAATTTCCGATTATGACAACCTAATTTTTTTATTTGTGATTAAATTAACTATTAAAATAGAAATTATATTAATAAAAAGAGTAAAATTCTGGGCAGCTTTTGCTAATAATATTATAGTTAGACATGTTGACATTGAAAGCTAGTGTTTTTTTTAATATTTCAATTTCTGTGGAATTTTTCGATTTAATATAATTTTGAATTTTTTTGTTCTATCGTGAGCAATTTTACTTCACA